GAATGGAATAAACACTTCGATTTACAGAAAATGGTGGATAGAGACAAGAGGTCAGAAGGATGAAACATGCTATGAGTTAGAATTTTATCAAGTTGAGATTTGGCATCCTGAGAAGAATAAGAAACCTCATTTTCAAAGGCCTCTTTTTTTCTCATGGAGGTATGGGGCACTAAGCAGCTGAAGAAAGATCATTCTTGTGTTTGTGAATGAAACTTATTTTTTCCACCACAGTTTAAGAAAAGGAGAATGCTCAACAAAGAGAAAGAATGTTGTAAGCTGCAGGAAAATGGAAGAGCAGAGCAGTTTAACAAATTGCCACACAGGTGGAGATGAAAGGAGATACAGACCTCAGGATGGGGAAAAAGAGAAGCAAACAATAGACTGTATACAGTGGTTTAAAAGCTGTATTTGACATGGCTTGGGGAGATAAGGAACAACAAATGTGAATGGTTAATTTATCTTAAAAACCATGAGTAAAGATGATTGGCATTCATTCGACATCCATGCAAGAAGAAAGTACCTCAACTGCTTTGCATTGGATTTGGGTATTATTCTGCAAACAAATATTTTTCTGACCCATTTGCAAATGTTGATAGTTCACAGAACCACAGAATCACAGAATCATCTAGGTTGGAAGAGACCTCCAAGATCACCTAGTCCAACCTCTGACCTAACACTAATCATACTAACCCATCTCCACTAACCCATATCACTAAGGTCTACGTCTAAATGTCTTTTAAAGACCTCCAGGGATGGTGACTCAACCACTTCCCTGGGCAGCCCATTCCAATGCCTAACAACCCTTTCGGTAAAGAAGTTTTTCCTAATATCCAAACTAAACCTCCCCTGGTGCAACTTTAGCCCATTCCCTCTTGTCCTGTCACCAGGCACATGGGAGAATAGACCAACCCCCACCTCGCTACAGCCTCCTTTAATGTACCTACACAGAGCAATAAGGTTGCCCCTGAGCCTCCCTTTTTCCAGGCTGACCAATCCCAGCTCCCTCAGCCACTCCTCGTAGGACTTGTTCTCCAGGCCCCTCACCAGCTTTGTTGCCCTTCTCTGGACTCTCTTGAGCACCTCCTTCTCCTTCTTGTAGCGAGGGGCCCAAAACTGAACACAGTATTCGAGGTGCGGCCTCACCAGAGCCGAGTACAGGGGGACGATCACCTCCCTAGCCCTGCTGGCCACACTGCTTCTGATACAAGCCAGGATGCCGTTGGCCTTCTTGGCCACCTGAGCACACTGCTGGCTCATATTCAGCCGACTATCAACCAATACTCCCAGGTCCTTCTCTGCCTGGCAGCTTTCCAACCACTCATCTCCCAGCCTGTAGCTCTGCTTGGGGTTATTGCACCCCAGGTGCAGGACCCGGCACTTGGCCTTGTTGAACTTCATGCAGTTGACCTCAGCCCATCGGTGCAGCCTATCCAGATCCTCTTGCAGAGCCTTCCTACCCTCGAGAAGATCGACACACGCACCTAACTTGGTGTCATCTGCAAACTTACTGAGGGTGCACTTGATCCCCTCATCCAGATCATTGATAAACATATTAAAGAGGACTGGCCCCAGTACCGAGCCCTGGGGGACACCACTAGTGACCGGCCTCCAACTGGACTTGACTCCATTCACCACGACTCTTTGGGCCCGGCCATCCAGCCAGTTTCTAATTTTGTCCCTGCACAGCCTCACAACATCCTTATAGTCCTCCTGAGTGACCCATCCTCTTTTCCAAAGATTATAAACCCTCTGTTTTCTCCTAAGCTCATGCCACAACTCTCTGCTCAGCCAGGCCTGTCTTCTTCCACGCCGGCTCGTCTTTGGGTATGTGGGGACAGACTGCTCTTGAGCCATTAAGATTTCCTTCTTGAAGAGTGCCCATCCCTCCTGGACTGCTCTGCCCTTCAGAACCACCTCCCAAGGGACTCTGCCAACCAGTGTCGTGAGCAGCTCAAAGTCAGCCCTACGGAAGTCCAAGACTGCGGTTTTACTGATCCCCCTCCTGACTTCGCCAAGAATGGAGAACTCTACCATCTCGTGGTCACTGCCCAAGACAGCTCCCAACCACCACATCTCCCACCAGTTCTTCTCTGTTTGTGAACAGGTCTAGAGGGGCACCCTTGGTAGGCTCACTAACCAGCTGCGTAAGGAAATGATCTTCCACACTTTCCAGAAACCTCCTAGAGTGCTTTTTCTGGGCTGTGTTGTGCTTCTAGGATATGTCTGGGAAGTTGAAGTCCCCCAAGAGAACAAGCACTGATGATTTTGCAACTTCTGCCATCTGCCTGTAGAATTCCTCATCAGTCTCCTCATCCTGGTTCAGTGGTCTATAACAGACCCCCACCAGGATGCTTGCCTTGTTGGCCTTCCTGCTGATCTTAACCCATAGGGACTCAACCTTATCATTCCCAGCCTCAAGTTCCACGACAACAAAACCCTCTCTGATACATTACTTGACACCAACAGAATTATAGAAGGGCTTTTATAATATAATATACAATTGCTGTTTTACAGAGAAAAAAGAGATATTACTTTCCTTTCTAAGATAGGCTAACTGCACAAACATGTGATTCCAGTACAAATATTACCTAGGAGTTTGACAGCTAATATGCTAATGCAAGTTACCATCTTCACTAAAAAGAGATCTTGTGGCCCACTGGGACAGAATAACAGCAAAACTGGGAACAATAAGTCTGTGACTCTAACTCTGAAATAAAATAAAGTCCTTATCCATGTGACAGTAACTGATATCACTGGAACTTCTGTGCTCAAAATTATGCATTCCTCTATATAAGGCAATTATAGCATATTTTTAATTGATCTCAAATTCCAAACAGTTGGAATGTAGGATGCTTTGAGATCACAGAGGAGACTTCTTACAAAGATGTATGATGAAACTAATTGGGTCTGGTATGAATGAATAATGTATCTGAATTCCAAGCCAAATATAGCGAGCATGTTGAGGTAACCACCAGACAGAATGTATCAGAATTAATATCAGGAGAGACATCAGTGTGTGAGTTCAACATGGTCGTATATCCTTAAAGTTCTGAAGAAGCATATGGAAGGCAATGGGCTGCTTACAAGGAATACATGTACACATGTACAACTAATTTTATAATTAGCTTTGTATCTCAGCCTCCACTACCCTGAAAGTACCCCATTACCAAGGGTTATCTCAAGAAGAGAGACTGCTTCCCCAGCAAAATAAATTCCAGAAGTTAACAAAGAAATCTTTCTGTAGAACCATTGGAAACATTGAATATTCTAGGAAAAAAAAAAAAAAAAAAAAAGGAGCTACAAGAATTTTTTTTCCATTAAACAAACAAAACAACAACAAAAACTAACAGAGACAACTCACCTTCCTTAAACACCATTTAATAGGATACATTAATCACACATTCCACAAACTGGATAAATATGATACAGTTTGTACTTTGCAAAATTATCAAATAGACTGCTCCTGTAAATTTTATTTAATCTTGCAATTAGATAAAAACAATAAGGATTTAGCTAATAATTGGTATCTAGGAAAATCTGTTTTATGGAATAATGGTAATAAGCAAGTTGATTATTTTAATGCTTTCTTCCCTAACTGCCATCACGGTTAGTTAGTTAATTGATCGTAAAAGGAATGAACTCTTGCAAAATAGGTTCATGACTAGTTTTAAAATTAAATATGGGTTTTCTATACATGATGATATATATGACCAGAGCAGGAAATGATTAAAATAGGTGAACTAAATAAATAATAAAATATGCTGACATACCAAACCAATTGAAAACACAACACAATGCCTCTTAGATCATATTTATGATGAGAACTACACACTGCAGATGATGTTTGCTGGTCCAATTCTACTTTCTTGAAGTTGTAGAGGATCCCATCAGAGCAATGTAGGATATGTTTCCTCCTCATAAAAACCAACTTTATCTTCCATTAACCAAAAGCCCAAGGTGTTAGTCCATGAAAATTTTCACCCATGAAAAATAATCCTTCCCTTTTCATAATCAAAAGTAGCGACTACAAAAAAAATCCTTTTTTTTTTAACAGAATGTTACAGTCAGTCTTTAGACAAGTTAAAAAAAATAAGAGGACAAGAAAGTCTATGTGTAATATTTTAGAATAGAGGCTTTAAAAGCAGCTACCATAGACTTCCTCCAGTATTTTATAGTTAGGGTAACCACATAAGAAAAAGGAATGAACTAAAACATAAACGAATCTGCATCTGAAAGTCAGCTTCCACAACATAAACAAATATGTAACAGCAAAGCCACAAACCAACAAGAAAATAAAAAAATAAAAAATAAAATAAAAAATTGCAGCATTTACATATGCAGAGTTGTGTTCCCCCTCTCCCCACTCTTACTTATCTTCCCAGAAAATCTATTTTAAAATATTGCTTAATTTTAGTCATTAATTACTTTCTGACCAAGTAATATCTTTGAGTTAATATTGCTTTATATGAACATTTACTGCTAGATAATACATTATCTAAAACTTCAGGCTTACACTTCTTTTTGTCAGCTACTGGTTGTCTAATGTGAGTTCATATTTCAGTTAGTGCTTGGAAAGAAATGTGACAGATGCATAATATTTATTGCAAAGTTTGCTTATGGAACCTTCAAAACTGAAGTGCAACAAGTCAAGAGTTGGACTTGATGATCCTTAGGGGTCCCTTCCAACTCAGGATATTCTATGATTCTATGATTCTAAGTTGAGGAGAACAGAGCCCCATTCAGAGGGCAGGCTCTAAAGCAGCACAGGCAAGGCAAACATTCAGCAAGGCTGACACCTAGTAAAAGTTTAGTGAACTGCAAAACTGAGACAACAGCAAAGCTTCCAGAAAGGCAATCTAACACCTAGAGTTAAAGCAGAATCTGAGATAAACTGCTCAGCTTAAAAGCCAAGTTTCCAGAGAGACACCAGCATGTAATGGAAAGTCAACCTAAATTCTGGAGGGAAAGAAAACTAGTTTAAATCTTTGTTGTTTTGTTACCTGGGGATCTGAAAATAGTAGTCCTGTATCCTTATGTTTTATTATTGCTGCATTCCCAGGAATGTTCCTTGCCAGCACTGGAATATCTAAATCCATTGCCTAGAGGAATACGAAGAAAGGAAACAACTGTTTATAGGGATAAACGGATTATTAGGATATAGGGATTTTTAGATGTTAATGATGACAACATTAAAATGAAAAGCAGAAGCAATTAATCCAATCTTTCTTTCTCTTCAAACTTTTAGCTGAAAAATATCATTTCTAAAGGTGAACTCATATATGGACCTTCGCTGAAATATTTTCTGTACATTTTTATCAGTCTTGTAATGTTGAAAATATTTTCAGAAGCAATAATCAATTCAGAAAATCAAGGGATAGCTTTGTCATCCTTTATTCTTTTATTCCTCAAGTATGCAGTTTGTTTCCCATTGGAAGTTCTTGACAGAGTTGTCACTCTACCATTATCGTGCACGGATGAGATTATAGCACAAAAAGCCAACTTTCCCCAACATAGAATATCTGTTCTCTTGCTCCATTAAAACACATTTTTTCACATATTTTCTACATGTGCAGAACTGGAGAGAAGTGGGCAGCACCAATGAGAGCAAAGGTCACAGTGGCTCCTTCTCCTCAATTCTGACTCCTATTCATTATATAAAGCTCTGGAAGGAATTTTGCTTTTGACAGTGTCTGTCTCTATAGCCAGTCTTGGACTTTGAGTGTTCAGGGAATATAGGGAAGCATGCAGTGACATAGTTTCTGTCTGTGAACAATAAAAAAAAAAAAATCTACCCCAAGGAGGGTAGAGAAAAGGTTATGCTTTCGGAACATTACACTTTCAAAACATATTACCTACAAAGCTATTGGCATAGGATTCGTCAGAGACTAAGGGATACATCTGAAGAAGTAGAATTTGATTCCACATAAACCGTGGGCTGGTTGTTTGATTTATTTATTCACTTATGTATATTACTTATATACATAAGATACTTATATTATTTATATACTTATGTATGTATATGCATATATGTTTATGTAAACATATACAGTAACAAAAAAAGGAAAGGAAGCATGGAGGTCTCAACATGGTAGTATGAGGTAGCTAGCTGATAGCACTTCAGGCTGCCTGCAGGATCAGGAGAAGAGATGCAGCACAAAATCTGTTCAAAGCCAGTAAACCATTTCCAAGAGACCTAAGGCCAGGCAACTTTAAAAAATATGGCTTAGATTTTGAAGTACCTAGTATGCAAATCCTGGCCACTCAGCTCTCTTACTCATGCATATCCTAATCTAAAATTTTAATTGCTATTGATGAATTTGGATTCTTGAGATGCATTGACTGTAAACCTAGAAAAACTCATATTGCACAATTATCACAGTGTCAAAACAGAAAGCTATTCTCTCCCCCAAATCTTCAATCCATTTCGTACTGTTTCCCTGTCACTTCTGAGTGAATGCTTTTTTAATTACTGTCATTAATTGCTCCTGGGTGGGGAGCAATTTTCCTTCACTCTATGAAACAAGAAAGTAAAACTCCAAGTTAAAAACAAGAGAAAATGAAATAAATAAAAAAAAAAACGAAAACAAAAACAAAAACAAAAACAAGAGAATTGTTTAGACAAAACTGGAGACAAAAATACCCTGACTGGTCATGTATAGACCCAATTATGTTTTGAACAGTGAAGGAATGCTGTGACTAATCAACGTGTTAATAGCTTAAAATTTCCATGAGAAACACTGTAAATCACAACTGTAGGTGAATTTACTCTGGACACAGAAATTCTACATTCCTTCTGGCACAAACATCTGCTTTGCAGCAGTTAGCTCTAAAAATAATAACCCTTAATGACATAACTTGTTCCACACTTTGTATCAGGAACTACTCGGTCAGCTTGAGGCCAATAGGTTAATGAAGTGAACACAAACCAGACTAAATAAATGAAAAGTGTAAAAACTACAGACCAGATTTCTGAATTTTACTATCTAAAGTTGTTGAGTTTTTCTATTAAAAATAATAATTTGGTAAGATGTTATATAGTTTTCAGTCATCCATGGATTATTGTCATTTCCTCTGACTTTACTGTTAAACAAATCTGTTATCCAAAGATAGATTTTAAAAAATGATGACAGTATCTTCTTATCAGTATAGCAAAGTTCATATCACAGCAAAGTTCATACCACATCAAAGTTCACCCAGGAAATTAAATACCAGTGTCCCACTCAGCCTGACAGGTTTTGAATCTGCAGGTTGAGGAAATTGCTTTTGGCTTTAATTACCCAACGGTAGGCCTTACACGGGGTTACCATTGGCATCAACTTCTCAAGGAGATACAGAATTTCTGACTCAGCAGACTTTCAGCCCTTCCCATTGACAGGCTTAAATGCCCTTGCATTCAATGTGCTGGCTGTTGTTACAGAATCACAGAATTACAGAATTTCTAGGTTGGAAGAGACCTCAAGATCATCGAGTCCAACCTCTGACCTAACGCTAACAGTCCCCACTAAACCATATCCCTAAGCTCTACATCTAAACGTCTTTTGAAGACTTCCAGGGATGGTGACTCCACCACCTCCCTGGGCAGCCCGTTCCAGTGCCTCACAACCCTTTCAGTAAAGAAATTCTTCCTAACATCTAACCTAAAACTCCCCTGGCATAACTTTAGCCCATTCCCCCTCGTCCTGTCACCAGGCACATGGGAGAACAGGCCAACCCCCACCTTGCTACAGCCTCCTTTAATGTACTTATACAGAGCAATAAGGTCACCCCTGAGCCTCCTCTTCTCTAGGCTGAACAAGCCCAGCTCCTTCAGCCGCTCCTCATAGGACTTGCTCTCCAGGCCCCTCACCAGCTTCGTCGCCCTTCTTTGGACCCGCTCAAGCACCTCGATGTCCTTCTTGTAGCGAGGGGCCCAAAACTGAACACAGTACTCGAGGTGCGGCCTCACCAGAGCCGAGTACAGGGGGACGATCACCTCCCTTGAACTTCTGAACTGAAAACCAAGAGCTTAATAGTGGTTTTGAAGGGTGTCAGCATTATTTGTCATCTGCCTAAGGCCTTCTCCTCACCTCTGTGTATCTCTTTCTTGAAAAAACAAAACTGTGAGAGTTTTTCTGGCTTGGCCAATTTCCAAACAAGCAATTGTCCATTCAAGAGAAAGAGCACCATTAAATAAAAAGAGAAAGAAAGAATGAAAGAAGAAAACACGCATAACACTATACAACCACACCAGGTGTGACAACTTATGTCCACAATAGTTATCCACAAAGCACAGAGGAGTTTGGATTTGAGTATATCAGACACAGTGAAAAGCGAACACTGTGCCAACTGCCCATCGATAGTGACTGTCAAATACAAGTGCCCCATGGCAGTTCTGTCCTAGACTGTATGTCCTGCTGTGGTTTTACAGGATTGCACAGTACCGCTGTACTACATTGTAGACTAGACCATAGTGCACATTATTTATTTATTTATTTATTTATTTATTTATTTATTTATTTATTTAGTCATCTCAAGACATGTTACTCCTGTTTCTGAACGCTATGTAGTTGATGGCTCGCTGAAGCTGGCCACTAAGTTTATATTTAATTTTCCATAGTTTCTGGACTTAAAAGGAAAAGATATTTGTTCTGTCTCATAGACTTTGAGGCCAGTAACTGCTACATTGCAAAACTTTAAGGCCCCAAAACACATAGGTACCAATGAATTATAGCTACTGAAAGACAGAACAGATGGCCCAATACATATGATGAGGGGCTGGCTTTATACCAAACAGCCTTAAAACAAATGGACTGTGCTGTAAATAATTACTGCATGAAGTGGCTTAGAATTTAATTTAGATACTGAGTCTATTTTTAAGCAGTAAAAAGAATCATTTGCATTGTTGAAAATATGTATTATTTACTGACCTAGGTTCCACAAATAATAGAATAAAGTAACATTTTAGTCCATTGGCCATCTGTTTGGCTACGTTATCCTGAATACAAATGCATTTTAATGCTATGTCAGAAGGGTGCTGGGTGCAAATTCTAGCTTTGGAATCAAGTTATACAACAAGCATTTCTAACCCGTAGTGTGGGGCTTATAGAATCAATACAGTTTTTATGTACTATTTTGTCTTTTTGATTGCCCCTTCTTTTCATCCTCCTATACTATACATCTTTTTTGGTGGCCCCTCTTCAAATTTACTCCACCACAACATCCCTTTTTCGTTTCTGTAGTTTGCTATGGCTTATATTCCAAACTACAAGGCCTGTACTTCACATGTTGTTTAAGACTAGATTTTGCCCTGCAGCAGAATAGAGACTGGACATCCTTCTCTCCTATGATAGATTTTTTTAATTGGCTTTTTATGTGTATATGTGAAGGCATAGTAATTGAATAATTTCTAGAATAGTCAGAAAACACGTGAGAGCACAAAAAAGTATTCTGATGAAGTGGTGCTGGACTCCAAATCTTTTGCTTTTCAACTATATAGAGAATATGCAAAATTTTCAAGCACTAGTGCCTGTTTCACCAGCACTTGCACAGTAATGTGCATAACTCCCAAGAATTATGATCTGAGGTGTATTTCAAATGCTCACTCTAATGCTTGTTTTCTCTTCTTCAAATGCCAGACAGAAAACAGATTAGTTACAGCAAAATCTCTGAGATAACAGTACTAGATGACAAAGTAATTAGCTACAGTTTCTAGTTCTTTCATACCTTAAAGCAGGTTTGAAATAGATATGATTATATATTTACCTGATTTATCTATTATATATTTTTCTCATACTAAAAGCAAGCTATGTTATGTGCTCAGTGTTTACAGATTCATGACCTGGTTCAATTTTGAAATTCCAAAAGAATCCGAGTTGCATTTCCAAATGCAAGCAAGATGTTATTTCCAGCCTATGAACAAAAGTTTTTTTCACATAGTTTTCTGCCTTATTAATTTAACAAGATCTTAGCAGATGGCCCTTCCTACTGTTAACCATCTCCGGCAGGGACTTTATTAGACCGACACTTCTTCTGAGAGGAAGAGATATTTACAGTAGGATATTTCATAAGCAAGTCATCAAATCCTACTGTACAACTGTCTAGTAAACAGACATACAGTATCAAAAACCTTATCACTTTAGAAGAAGCATTCAAATGAATCTGAGGAAATAAAAAGGGCATGCTTCAGGTAGTTTCTTAAGAAGTAACTAAAGATCTAATTCTGCTTTATGAGATGATGGGAACAACTCTGACACTGTAATCTAGACTAAGCTTCCTCCTAATTTTACAGGGTTTAACCAATAGTCAATGGCCCAGAGGACACACATTCATTCCTTATTGCAATATTTGAACAGCTCAGAATCAAAAATGTTTTTTTTTTATCTGCCATGTGAAAAAGTATCCATATTTTCTAAGTGAAAATGTGGATAAAGGACCAATCAACTGATCCGTCCAAGGTCACATGCAAAAATCCTGACTCAACTGAGACCAGAGCTGTTGTCTCACACCACCTGTGTCATACCTATTAGACTTTCCTTCCTATAATGCAAGATTGCAGTTTGTGCCTGCAATTGGTAATTCATTCACTTGTATCAGATATGCACCCGAACTAGCATGCTCAGGCTTCTGAAAGTATGCCAGCTCTTTTTATCGCTATTATATGACTTCCATGATAAACTCCAAGCTATGAGTTAAGAGATTAGGTTACCTTTCCTCCACTCTTCAACAACAAGGCTAATATAGGACAGAGGCTGGTGGAAAGAGGGTTATACCTGTTATAGATTTATTTTTCTCCCTGTGAAGATCTCCCTGCACAGGATCATAATTTCTAAACAAGAATATGTAGTCTTTTTGTGGTTCTTTATAATAATTCTTACATAACTACACACAGGAAGGTGTAGCAACATAAGAGCTAATACAAAAGGTAAGCAGCTATCAACAGCAACTATCTCACCCATCAACAGCCCCATTTTTCTGAACTCACTTTGGGACTGGGAGAGCAAAACTCTCAGGAGCACCTCCACACAAGCACTCCCACCGAGGGAGCAGATTAAGAGGCAGCACCACAGAAGAGCTAGATGTGTCTTACTAGAGATACTAAAGAAACTATGAAATTTCATCAATCCTGGTGTACCAGTGTAAAATGAAATGAGTAGTGGTAAAATGTGAACTGTGACAGCTCAGAAGCTCATATGTAGAGGAAAGCAAAAATCAGTAATCCCTGAAGCAGGCTCAACATTACCTTTGAAATAAACTGGAAATATCATTTTGCTTAGAGTTACTACATATTTGTTAAGACACTGTATATGCAGGATTGCTCTCTTCCCTGATAAAAGCTGAGGAAATTGCCTTTTAACTGCTCAAATCTGATTGGATTCCACAATATTTTGCAGAAAATTATTCGAATTGACTCATCAGTCCTGCATTTTCATAACAGCTTGTACCAGGCCAAGCACACTTGCACTTCTGTTGCCTTGTCTTTTAACAGTCTCTCTGTTTTGCTTATTATTATTATTATTATTTTTTTTTTTTTTTTTACTTCTCTAACTCACTGACATTCTCAGGAAGTAAATCAGATTTATTTTTGGTCAACTGTTCTGTGAGTGCTCCTGAAGGGAACATGTAGCTGGCTGGAAGGAGGTGACAGGTACTTAACATTTACTTCTCTGAGTCACTGACTTGGTTGTGTGTACTGTGTTAATACACTCCATTTCATCTCAACTACTGCCACACTGATAAATTTGGAAATGTCACAATCTGTAGTATTTTTTGTTTATATAGATAGCATTGTTGCTCTGAAGAAGCATCTGGTTTCACCTCTGTGATCTCTTCTCAGAAAGAAAATACAAATTTGTTATCTTACCATCACCTGATTTTCCTAATTCTCACCATGTTCACTTAGTTCTTACTTATGAACACCTTTAGGATGTGTGGATGAAAAGCATGCTGGAAATGCAATGTGTGATTACTCATTACAAACAGCAAAATGTAATTAATTAACACAAATTGTATAATACTTTCTGTGATCATCTGAGATCATCATTCAGCAGCCACAAAGAAAAAAGAAAGTAAAAAGCATCCAACCAAAGAACTTCCACTTTATATATATTTATTATGATCCTGGAATCTATTGATACTAAGCAGGGTCCTACTTTGACAAGTATGAAACCTGGTTATTAATTTTCAATACTGTTGACATAAAAAATTAAATGAGCATGTCATTCATTCATTAATCATTTCATAATTAAATAACCAAATAAAGCTCTTAGATTGCTTTTTGAAAGGATGTAAAAATAAATGAAAGTCTATTCTAGCAACATTGTAGCAAAGTAGATGTTTTATCAAAAATAGTGACATCCTTAGTAAATCAGAATGATTCTCGTATCTCACATCTATATTGTTAATTTAACAGGATTGATAAAATTACATTCAGTCCTTAAAAAAATTAGACAAACCATAAAAATCTGTCAGTTGAAGGGATAAAAATCTTAATAAACGACACTTGCAAAAAGAAATAGTTTAGTTTTGTCTTCACTAGCTTTGAAACATGGACATAAAATGTTGACAAACATTTCCAGTGATAAAAGGCAATTTCAGATTCACTGTAACCTCACTGATAAACATTGCTAAGATGCAATTACCTCCAGGATTGCAGCAGACATCCCCTCTGAAATTGAGCTGTTCACCACAGCAAAGCACCTTTTCATAGCAGCATGAAGATCATCCTGTGGCATCTCCTGTAATAAATGTATTCCAGGTGCCCTAGAAATAAAATGCACACAAATAAGACATCTTCTAAGAACATACTCTCAGAATTCTTCCTAAAACCGAAGACAATGATGAAAGATGGTCAGAGAAGTTCAGGCATGGTTCTGATATTAACGATTGCTTTCCCATGGGCAAGCCACTTTGCCGTGTTTTTGTTAGCTTTCTATAAACGCATATATTTCTATAAATTTATAAATGCAATTATAAACGGGTATATCTTGCTACCTACCACTTCACTGTCTGTTCTTCTGGAGTTTTAGAACCAATCACTTAACACCAGGCTCTGTTAACCACAATCAGTCAGTCTCACAGATGAAGGAGCTGAGTTCGATGGTGACTTTTGAGAAACATAGGGAAAGGGAGCACAACGGTCTGAATGGTCAGCTGCAGGAGATGCTGACTTTTCAGATGTTGGCTTTTTGGGATGGATCAAGGTTCTCAAACATATCATCTGCTTCTTCTTTTAGGATAAGCACTTTTCTCTTCTGAATGTTTACATTCTTCCTGTTGTCATCTTCCCCAGTTTAAGCAAAGTCAATCAAATCAAGGGTGCAGAATGGAATAATAGGGTAATGAGGTGTTCAGTCTCAAATGAAGTGGGTGGGACCTTTAGGATTTTTTTTCAAAGAGCCAGCATCTCCTCCTGTTGATGAGTCCACTCCTGCCTCTTTATCCTTGACATGAGATCACAAAGCCAGATGGAAAAGCATTTGACCCTAACACCGGCCTCCTCCCCCCCATCAACTAGACTTTGTTAGAAATTGATGTTCTGATTCTGCAGTAACATCCAGCTTCTGCAGAGATAAATAACTATATTAGGGGAAGTATTAATGCATGATTACAGGAAACACGTTTCCCATAAATAACCTGATAAAAAAATTATCTGTCTGCAAAACAGATACTTTATGCAGATTTTAATTCAGGCATATAGCTGATATTATCAATCTGAGATAATATGTTTGTTCTGTTCTAGCCAGAAAATTCTAGGTTTTGCAGTCAAAAAAAGAAATACCTCTGTTCTCTAAAATTTATACCTTCCAGTCAGGAAACTCATAAAGTAGGGGCAGAAAAAAGCTACACATGGTTATCTTTTCTACGTACTCATTCACCCACCAACAGGATGCAACATCTTGCTGAAGTCAAGATGAAAGACACAATGATACATAAAAAAGTAATAAATATGAATCATACCTGATCCTAAGTCAGATGTGACTTAACATAAAACGTGAAGAGATCTACTGGCTAATCTAAAATTTAAAGTATGTAGAATAGGTGGTCTGAGAATATCACATGCCAAATAATCCAAATACATTTGTTAGTCATACAGAGAGTTTGAATGTATGACCATTTATATATAAAAAAAGCATTTATGCACATGATCTTAAAAAGCTACCCAGCCAGTTGCTTTCATTTGGAGCAGATAAAAGGCTTAACATTAATTCTTACCTCTTAACTTTTTCTTTAACTTCATTTGTAAAAAGTGGATCAACCTAGAAAGGAATATACACACAGGTAAAGGGCAGTACTGCAGCACAACATTTGAAATACCAAGAAAAGAAAAATAATTTTTAGTACATTTTTTAATAAAATGTATGAGTATGCTGAGCTTCAAAATCATAACAAAGATCAGTAACTTGGTGGAGTTACACTTGACTCTTCAGACAAATGCTCTTGTGAAGACTGACTCTTAGAATACCCAGCTAGGGGTGTGAGTGCACAGCACAGCAGAGTGAATTGACTACCCCAGTCTCAGTTTCAGTGACTAACCTGATGCAGTGGAGCTCTGGGCTGCTGTCAAAAGGGGAGGTTCTGTTTCTTCTCCCCTGACATCCCCCTCTGGCTGCAGGTTCTAATTAGAGGTAGATCTATTTAACATGAATGACTGCTTTCAGAAGACTTTGCAAAGGCTAACGTGATTCAAATGATGGATTTGACAACTTACTGCCTAAGTGAGGAGCCAAGCAATTGTCCCTTTATGTATGAGGTTACCAGTGTGAGGAAGGGAAGGAACTTTTCAGACTTTAGTTAACACAGAAAGCAATCTGCATGTAAATGGTGACAGGCAAATAGATGTTACACACTGGCAGAAACATTTGCTTGAAAACTAATAAACACAAAATTTTAAAACATAGCATAACATTGAAGACATACTAGAGTTATTAAAATGTTTTCTAAGATGGGCAATTAACTCCAACAGTTTTATTTACAAAGCTTAACTATGACTGCTACTTTCATTTAACGCATTTAAAAGAAATAAACAGAACTTGGAAATCCTTAACTAGACATGAAGAACAGAAGTAGACTGCTTTTTATTAAGACAGACTGCTATATTGGATCAATTTATGATAGCTCACACAGCATACAGCAGTTGTAAGTCCTGGGAACAATATGGCTCATTTTTTTAATCATGTTAATATTTTTTTTTCATTTTTGTTTTGTTTTGCTTTTACACGCTAAAAGATAGAAAGCCCTAACAAAGCATTTTAGAAAACCCTCTTGGAAAAAACTCAGAATTGATTTTATGATGGTGTACATTGAACACAAGAATAATTATTTAATGAAAGCAGGGCTTCATAAATCAAAAGGTACAAGCAAATCAGCACTGTACTAAGGAATGAACTCCTACTGCATGCAAAAAAAAAAAAAAAAAGACTTGTGTAACTGTTTAGAAATGTATTTTTGGTAACAGCTGGGGAAAAAATAAGGTACCCTTTACTGAAGCACTTCCTAATCCGGGTGACAGTATGCTACAGACCTGTACACGAAGCCAGCATTGTCAAGTCACAGGTTCCTTGGATACTTTATATTGAACTTTGTGGCTGCTATTTCTGTATAAACATCTTTTCAGCTTTCTCCCTAAAGTACTATTTTGAGTTCCTCTCATGAGGAACTATACCGAGTTTCCTTTAAAATCAATGGAGTACTTGGAAGTGATTTAACATGCAGTGGGATATGGTCTTTTGCTCTTCTACCTTTAGAAGGCTAAAAAAAACTACAGCTTGTGACTCATAAAATTTGTAAGATATTAATTCCTATCCTATCTACTTCTCTGGAAGCCAAGAAATTGCCATCTGTCTCAGGAACAGAACAATCCTTTAAGCAGCATTCTTCTATTGGTAGATATTCCAAGAAGTCTGGCCTGAATATAATTCAGTTAAAATATTACTTTCAGGATGGGTGTAGCAATGACTTAGAGAAGTGATCCCCCTGAGCTACATTTAGGAACTTGTGGGGGCACAGTTATCTAACCACAGTCTCAATATAACAGAAAATTGAATACAACATAAGCTGTTCAGTAAGTTGGAAATACATTTAAAAAATGTGAATGTTTCCAAAGCCAACTGACTGTGGCAGGATGCCTAGGAACTCAGCAGTCTCAGAAAAAGCTACTGAAAAGGCAAAATTATTACTTCTGCCCCAAAAGTCTCCATAGTCCATTTCTTCTATACATAGATGAGTGTTTGTTGTCATACTTTATTTTGTTACCTTTCAACATACCAGGCAAATATGATCAACAGTTACCTATCATCTTCTGTTAAAAAATCCTCCATCCATTTTTAACAGAGGAAGAGCCTTCAGAGAGCTGCACATTTGATCAACTAACAAGACCAGATATCCTTTAAAGAAAGATCTGTGCTGCTGACCAGCAAAAAAATATCTGAGATGTTTGACAGTGCCGAAAGTTACCAAATGCTGCCTAAAGATGAAGGTGCCTGTTAAGAACAAGGCCTACCATGACCAAAATCTTTCAGAACTTCTATACAGTATACTACATTGCTGTAATATGAAAATGAACTCAGAGTGAAGCAATGGCCCAGAAACATCTGCATTGTGATGTTGTGGCTGTTGTGGCCCTATAGACATCGTAGAAAAACAAAACAAAACAAAACAAACAAACAAAAAAACAGGTCTTAGTACACTTAAAGTTCTGTCAGATTATCACCCAGAGTACTAAAGAGTCAAAAGCTACATCTGCAAGCATATTCAGTGTAGATAGGAAGAATTTGCTCAGTTGGTCTGGTTTGTGAGGCTTCAGCAGTATTGCTGTGAAAGAAATCAGCTTTATTCACAGCTGCAGGTAAACCCACATTACAATTTTTATCTGATCAATGTTGAGGAGGCTCAGCAAGACTGAGCTTCCCATAGAACTAAATAACATAATTACTGTATGCAATGCAACATAATCTGCCTGCAGCAAATGCACTAGAAATTTAAAATCCTAGCTAAAACACTAAATTCAGCCATTCAACATTATCTTTTCCATACACTAAAAGATTAAGGAAATTAAATGTTTTCAGACCTAACCTGTAGCTCTACTACTTCAATTCAGGACAACTAACAACTAGCCAAAAATATAGTTTTAATTCAGCTGAAACAATTTGGCAGCTAGCATCTAAATTAACTTACTTTCATCCTTTAGTGATATTACAACACTATGGGAGAAATATCTTTAAATATTTTACAGATGTTAGTCATTGATTCCTTTGCACTGCCACAGGTTTGACTCCTATGCACTGCCTCAGGTTTATTTCTGGTAACTTACTATGAGAAAGCAAAACAAATTTAAAAAGATGACCAAAATGTCTAAAATCCTCACTGGAGGCAGGAAGCACATCTTTTAATTCTAAAGCACAGCTTCATTACACCTGCTCTAGTTTTACCTTCCATATAAGTTCACTTTCAAACCATTTTGTGTATTAGTATAAAAAAAATGCCGATAAAATAAAAATGTAAAAATAGGTTTAAAAATAAAATATTGTCTTTATATTTGCAAAGAACAAAACAGAATGAGAAAACAGAAACATATTTGCCCATTCAGATTTTATGTATTTTCTCATAAAATCGACTTCCTGCAAAGTTTTCATTCTCCTGTAAAGAGAAAGCAGAGATAAGACTGATAGAGAGACCCAAACACATTACCCAAATAAAACAATGAAGCTTTAGTACAGTTTTAGCATAAGTAAGATTTTTTTTCATATGACACAGCTGCCTAGTCATACCCTTTCCACTGGTTAGATAAAGGCTATGGGTTGCCTTTTCTAGACCTCTGGCTAATTAGCTCTTGGCTAACACGGTGCATGCTTCCCTCTTCAGTGAGGTTCAGTCTTGCCACTTCCTCAGAAATCATAATACTTGATTTGAAAATCATGGGGCTGGAGGAAAGAGGTTCCAAGAGCTTCTCTTGCTTGTGAAAAGAGAGGCAATTAGAAATCATAACTTTCAAATGTATCAAACATGGTCTTTAAAAAAAAAAAAGTATGTGTAAAACAGATTTTCAGTTGCTATAAACTTTGTTGCTAAAACATTGTTTTAAAACTATTTGTTTTTTTATTGTATTTAAACTTCAGTTGCTATAAACTATTGTTAGAATTGGACTAACTCAGTGCATATCCTCTTAGAAAACCCTCCTAGCTGCTTTCACTTTTGCGACAAAAAGTGGAGCACATGCTGAGTGAGTTGGACTTCTAGCTGCTAGCAGAACTCTGAACTTTGGAAGTCAGAGCACTGGAAACACTTCCACTTCCACAGTTCAGACCTGTTGTGAAAAGCCTTTACAACTGCTAGATTTGCACCTTCTTACCTCTATGAAAGTCAGAAGTCCTCTGACATAGGTTCAGTTTGGAAAGAATTATTGCGGTATCTCACATGAGCAAGAGGAAGTATTTAGGAATGAACATGCGAATAAAATAGTACTAGTAATTCTAACAACTTACTGCAGGTCCAATTATGCCCAGATGGACACTGGGATCCTTTCTGTGCCAATCTAAAACAGAAGAACATCTTTTTATTAATCAAAATTACTAATTTTAAATATTATTTTAAAGCACAAGAAATACTCTTCCTTCTCTAAAATCAATGTAAATAGCTTCATGTATAAAGTAGAACTAGGCAAATATTGTATTACTACCTAAAGGACAGATTTCATGCTCTGCCCTCAGATTACTCCTCAGAATTCAAATGATTAGTATATCTAAAATTTAGTATTCAGCATTTCTGCTTCATGAAATCTCTTATGATTCAATTCAAGGGTTATTTAACTAAGCTCAGATATTAATTTTGAATCATCTCACGAAAACAATGCTCTATTGAATGCAGTGACCCTAGCCACTAAGACAAAATGATTTGAAATTTTCCTCTTATGTAAAGGCATATTTGGAAGCAACTGCAACCACTGCAATTAATACTCAGTTATAATGTACACAGAGAAATCTGCCATTCTTCCACGACCAGAATAGAACCCTATCACAAAACCAATACTTGACATTAATAAACTACTTTTGTTACTGAACATCACAAGGCAGTGAAGGCTCATAAAAGTAAACAGAACAGCTGAGGCTAAATTCCCAGCTTGGAATACCCAAAACTTTTACAGATACAAGCTGAGAACCTAGCAAACCATTCAGTTATGTGACTATAAGAAAACTTCATAAAGATGGGTGGTAAAATTTGCTTGTAACTTTAGTGGTATTACTTAGCACACATGCCAATCAGTCTAACAGCCACAGGACAGTAAGATAAAAAAAAGTTATTTTGAAGTAGGTGAATCCTTCTTTTGTCTTCCATTAATATTGTATGTATCAGCAAAACAGTTTTACCAACAAGTAAAGGCATCAAATAGTGCTTTGATTTTAATGCTGTTATTCCCAGCAGGCTGAAAAAGATGCAGTACAGAAATAATGCATTGAACAGATCAATGGTTACATGTGCATTTTAAAAATATAAATATATTATGAAGTTTTCTGCAATGAATAAGACAGCTTATGCCAAACTTGTAAACACGAAAAGAATTTTTTCTACATCCAGGAACAAAACAAATACCAAATACCTACCTGAAAATACATCTACTAAATACAGAGGGTCTTTGACTCTCCGAAGTCCACATATCAAAAGAAACACGTGTAAATTGTCTCTATCTGTAGGAATATCTGTAACAAAACATTTTAAAAATCTGAATGCAGATAAAAAAGTTAAATCACTCTAAATCGTTTAATGAATAAGCACATACAATGGTAACAGCAGTATCAGGGTATCTGAAAACTTCTCATTATGGTTCCCTCTGTTTCTTGCTCTGACACTAATCCTCAAATCAACTCACTGGAGAACTTAATCATGCATATCATTCTACAGTGCATATGAGTTCATTTCAAGAGGCAGTGAATGTGCAGGATTTGGAGAAATAAATTGGTAGTCAGTATTCTTCAACACCCGAAATCAGCTTTGACTGACTGGGCAACTATACAAATCAGTGTGTTTCTCAGTTCTTCTACCCATAAGAATAAATATACATTCATATAATAATTCAACACCTGTTTCAAGGATATTGTGAGGCTTGGTCAGATACACATTGTTATAAAAGATCAGCTAAATGTCTAATAGTTATCTATCCCTAACATGCCAACACTACTACAGAATATTTAACCAGAAGTTAAATTATTCCAAAGCATTTGTTTTAATGCTATTGTAAAGAAATGCAAATAAAAATATATAGGAATATTTTTTAATATAATAAATTTATTTTGGAAAAAATCTCAACATGTTCATTTTTAACATCAAAAATCCCTCTTGCAAATATACCACAATAACCCACAAAAAAACATTTTGCAGGCTATCTTAAAAAAGGAAGGTCAGATGTATGTTATTGCAGTTGCCAGTGGCTATATAACAGCACAATTAATTCAGAACATACTTCTAAAGAAGGGTCACTTAGTGATGAATTTTGGTAAAATGTGTTTATAATAAAATAATTCAGATGTGCTGAATGAACACACTCATAACAACATAATTTAATAAACTCTAGAGAGGGTGCAATGTTCTCTGATTTATTGTACAGAGCAGATTAGCTTGCTGTCCTTCAGTGCATGTTTTTATTGAGCTCATGGCAAGGATGGATAACATTATCTAACACTAGTCAGCTGAACAGTGGAGGACTTGTTAGTGTTAGGTCAGAGATTGGACTCGGTGATCTTGGAGGTCTCTTCCAACCTAGATGATTCTGTGATTCTGTAACAAGGAGCATCAAACCGTAGCTCTTCAGGGTGTCTGTGGGACATTAATGCATTGGCCACACACTGGGACTATGTCACATAGCTACCAGGAGGGCTCTGCTGCATGGTCAGATTTTCTCTCGATGGAACGTGTGATTAACAGAGGAAGGCAGCAGAATGGTTGTGGTGGCTCTGCCATCCCCTGGTGCTGAACACTGCAGAGCTCCCTTCTCTGAGGCTTCCTCTTCCCTTTCGCTTCCACTCTCCACCAGCCACAGCAGCACCTCAGCTGCTATATGGCATGACTGAATTGCTGCAGTTTGGAATCTGAGATCACCCAAACTTGGTACCAACTTACATTTCTTTACCGTGTTGTATTACTTAACTGCAGGGTCTGCTCCAGGCCCTGGAAAAAACAGGAATGTCTCTTCTTGTGTCAAGGGACTGGCTTAATATGAGCTTTGCAACAAACCTCTCTACAGCAGGGGGTAAAAGCCAGGAGAGTGGTGCATACACAGCTGCTATTACTTTTAAAATTAAAATCCAGTTCAGGGACTTTTAAATGGTCCCTGTCACAGGGTTCATTATTAAGTCAGTTCCATTTAACTTAAACAGCTTGAGCTGTCAAGAGTGGCTGAAGCAGACACGGTAAGTAATATTTTACTGGTTATTGGACCAAGAAATAATTTGTAATTTATAATACAGAAACATTTGGATTGAAAAAGCCATTGTTCTGGTGCAATGGTCCATTAATTCTATTTGTTTTTAATACATGCAGCAGTGGTCTCAATTCATGACAAACTGAAACAAATTACTATAACATGTCGACAAAATTGAGATTGCATTTTAACTATCCATATGGCACAAATGTTCATTTTATATTATGAACTCCCACCTATTGATGTTCAGCTCTGGCTATTTTGGAACAAGCTTAAAGTTACCACTGAAGGCTCGGTGAGACAGTAGTGAGAAATCAGGTCTCCCTGTTCTCACGTAGAGATTACAAAATTATTGCACTCTTGATCTGACAGCATACTAATCAACATTAACCATGCTTAAAATAACTGCTTCTTCTCTCTTAATATCTTTTTGTTTCTATCTTAAAGCTTTCAGTCTTTTCATTTTATTAGACAAGGGTTTAAAGTGCTCTAAAAATGAAAAGCCCTAACAGACCAACTCTATGCAGTCCTGATTGTCATTCTGATGCCCATACAAAAAAACTTAAACCAAAACAGAAATCGGAAAAAGGCCTTACAGACTGTAATTACACTTTGAAATTTGGATTTTTCCGTTCAGATCCATGGCCTTTAAAGGTACTTCTCCTAAGAATCTCATGACTAACAGTTTAATTATTTCACTACTGAAACTACCTAAAAAAATGTTCATTAAAGAAAATAGTCCACTTATTTGATTTATTATTTTGAATAGACATTCACAAGTCTGAATTATAACTGGCAGATTGCCCCCTTCATGAAACTGTAGAAAGCACTACTTCTCTATTACGGAATGTTTCTCACTTTTCTCTCAGATAGAAGATATTGGGCACACTACACTAGAGATTGGATCCTGCACGACATTTCTAAAAGCTGTCAAAGAAGGGCTATTCAGGAAAGGATTTGCCTCTGCCACTCAATTTAGTGAAGTGAGAGTCAGTTGTAGTTTTACTTTATTGTATGCTGTAGATCATAGTTATCACCTAATTCATTTTTACAGGCAGACTCTCACCAACTCAATCCACTTAGAAACATATAACGACATTCCTGACAAGACTGCATTACCAGCACATCACAGCCCCTGCTCAGTGTTGGGAGTTTACTCACTCTGTCTACTTAAGAACAAGGTTAAGAAGCACCTGTGTATTTATTAGTTTTCTACTCATTCACTTGAAATAGTTAGATTTACACATCATGATGACGCCTGCATAGTTGTTTTTTTTTCTGATCTGTTGCTCTCTCAAGCCTTGTCAGCACCCCTACTGTGAGAAAAAAAATACAACCTTTTGTACTAGAAAGCAATAATTTTAGTATGTCTTCTCCTCACAAGAACACTAACAAGGGGGAGATCTTAACAGAATAACTGCAATAGCTGCCTTTAACAGCTATAGCCAACAGCTGGGTGAAAACTGCTATTTGAAAGAAGACATTTTTGATTTTTCCTGGAGCATAAACAGAGTTTCAGTATCTGAGTTTTTGCTATCATTCTGTCTTCCCCGCATAGGCTACTTAATCAGTTTTAAGATACAACAGCCCCATGTGATTCATTTCTGAAATGGAAATACACCACTATGGCACAATCAACTGACTTGTTGTTTTGATACATTCAGTGTGTGGCTGTATTGTTTGAATGACATGCAACACCCAAATAACAAAGAAATGCTTGTGTCTCTTTTTCCCGGTTTCTGTTAGTGTTACAAAAACAAAGATTTGAAACAGCACAATGTGCTTCATTACCTCCTAGCTCACGCATCCTTCTGTTTGCTTTGCAAAGCAAATATAAAATGGAAAGATTTGTCCATACTCACTGGCAAGAAAAAAAAAAAAAAGAAAAAAAAAAACCTGCATTTTCTGAAGTATGCAGCCATACTTCAAAATCACTGTACATTAAATACAAGTCTTGCCACTGTAATCAACATCTTCTTCACTGTCAAAAATAATTGTTTAATATCAGTAAGAGATGCTCCTTTAAATGTGCTTTGTTAGTATTCATCTATGGCTGTAGTTTGACTTGTTAAGTTGTCCTTATCTATAAAAAACAGCTGTATGTTGGCCATGGCCAGTCTTGATCGTGCTTAGCAGGTTACTTGTTTAGCAAGATGTGAAAGGTCAAAACAACAAGAGTGATTGATAGGATTATGGAAACTCATTCCTTTCGTCAGCTTGACAGTATACTGAGTTGATATACCACACAGAACTATAGGGATTGTGACAAATGAACTGCAGGTAAACTGAAATGAATCAGCCACAGTGGCAGATTAAGACTGACGTGGAACTCCCACAATCATGCAACTCCTTTTTCATGATAGAGCAGAGTGGGTATGATGCTGCTCAAATCTGAAACACAACAATGCAGCGTTGGCACGTGTAATTTCAGAGTGGAATTTCTTGATCAAAACAGTACCCTGTTTTGATCTGTGTGCTCGGGTAGCTGTTGCTGATATTGGAACCTGGCACAAAATGCATAATCTAATAGATGAAATGTGATTAATAATCAGGACTTGTGTCCTCCTGATGGCTGTGATTCTGAGTCATGGTGTGCCCTAGAGAAAGTTTCTCAAATCTAGACTTACCCATCTGGATTTACCCATTTATCTGCAAGCAGATTGAATCCTTGACACAAAACAATGTACAGGGTTTAATTTTTAGTAAACTGTTTGGAGGTCTTTAGTTACAAGACAGAATGAGAGAATGGACTATATTAAAAGCATACAGTGAAAAACATCTTAATAATACAACACTTTCCTGCTGAAGCATGCTGAAGTTTGTTATTTAAGATTTCATTGGCTCTTGGTTTGTTTTTTATCTGAAATTGTGTAACTGTTTGTCACATCCACTATTTTTAGGAACAATAATTTTACTATTATGATACACTATGACAGTTTACACTTGGGCCCTTTAAAAAATCTGTACTTAAATGCCAGCATAACATGAACACAGGCAAACAGCATGAAAATCAGAATAATTTCTGAAGCATTAATAAGGACATAATTTTTCTGAGAAAGTCAAGAATAAGTAGAGATGTCATCCAAATAGATTTTGAAAGAGTAGATTCATTTAACTCCATGTCTCTAGGTACTATCAGGAAAAAAATGTAGTAATCATAGATGTACGGTTTAAAAAAAAACCTGCAAATCTTTAATCTTACTGAAAAGCTGCAGGCCTCAAAGTGAGTGAGTAATATCAAGCATTAGCTTGCTGAGAGTTACAGAAGCAATTTGAGAACAT